CCAAATATTTCTGCCTTCCAGAAAAATTGCATATTGAAAAGTTGGAAGCCAAGGAAACTCGCCGATAAAACACAAATCTGGACGCTCGATTGGCAAGTGCCACAATTCGTCCTTTGAGAACTACACTGAACTGAACTGACCTTGAGTATTTCGCGTTACTCGTGTTGCATCACCGGTGTGCGAATAGCGTCTAGCACCATGCTATTCGCCAAGTTTCTTAACTCGAGTTGTTGGTTATGAAAACCGGATCCTTTTTCACTGCAAAAGGGAGCTTACTACCTTATTCTACTTTTCGCCTCGAATAGTCAAACCAGACTAATGGTTATCAGTGTGCTCTGTTCATGTTGCATTGCACAATGTGAATTAGAGTAGAACAAGAAATCCTCATAAAAAATAACATACTGTAAAAATGAGAGCAGAGGAGAATTCAACTAAGATCTAGTCCATTGATTCTGCGTTTAAAGACTGAAAAGTTGTAAGTGGGTGGAAAAACAGAAAGTGGGAATGTGTTTCATAATTTGATATTTCCGGGGAAAAAAAATTAGAGCAGAGGAGCACGATATCTGGGAAGCGAAATCTGATAATGATGGCTAAATACCTGTGTACGGGATGGAAAGGTAAAAAGGACGGGAAGAGAAACTGCCGGTGCAAGTTCCAAAGAAGAAAATCCTAAGTAGTGACGGCAGAACAACGACAATGAAGCAACTGCGCAATGATGGGTTAGTGACTGCAGACTGGATGTCAGGGAAGAATCATCGATTCGCCAGATAACCTTTCGTTGAACACAATCCAGAAGGGAAGGAGAAGAAGGCGAAGTCCCACCCCACACATGATTACAGTATTCAAGATCAGGGCGGATTTGAGCTTTGTACAATAAAAGATGAACTGGGGTGAAAAACGTCTAGCGCGAAATTGAAATCCAACCATACATGCATATTCTTCGTCTACTTGTGTAGAAGGTGGAGGATCCGCCCCTCTCCACGACGGGTCCCGACACACTCCGTGTCCTTAAGGTGTAACTGTCTCACCAAGTGCCCCTCGAGACGTCGTTTGAATCGTGTCTCATTCTACTCCACCAATGACGGGAGCGATTTCCTAAGAGGATTCGCTCTACTGGAAAGGCCTCAAGCCCGATGGAGGCATTGAATATCTGATGAGTCTGTAGCACTGATGGATCAGAAACGACCAATCCCGATATGCTGGGATCACAACAGGGCTAGTAACATCTGCAACGTCGTCTAACGAAGAGCCTCAGAAAGGATTGTGAAAACTGGTGGGTAACAATAGCCTACGAAATGGAAGTAGCGGCTGCATCAAGGAATAGTCAAAGACTGTTCCGACTGATATCTAATACAGGAGGCCGACGTACTGTGGTTAGTGAAACAGTCTGCGATAAGATGGGACGAGCTGCTCACAATAGGGATACACGAATTGATCGCTAGGCGGAATACTCCGGTGAACGGTTCAGCTGGACTCCCGCTAACCTGTAACTGAAGCTCTGTGGATGGTGTTGCGCGACCCTCCAGCCGAAGCAAATGCTAGGTCTTGCATCCAAGCTCTGAAGCGAGGAATGAAATCAGAACCGAATGAGTTCCCTCCCTCTCTCTTGAAGATGGGGGTTGATTACCTCGTAAGCTCCTGTTGTTCACCCAAATGGGCGGCCAAAAGACAGAAATCAAAACCGGCGCACGAAAGTGCTTTTCCCACCGTTGACCAACGATCGCATTGCTTTTCGATCTGAAAGGAACCTTCGAATTAAGTAACCGCGAAGCTCTGATAAGTTCCCTTCTTCGAAAAGGAATGCCCCAGAAGTACGTTAACCTATTGAGGTCGTTGTAATCACATACCTCCGGTTGTGTAAGGGTTTACAGCGAACTAAGTAAGCTGTTCGTCACCATCAGCGGCGTTCGTTCAGGGTGCCCTCTTTCATTGTTCCTGATTCTTCGTAGACGAAATACTGGAGAACGCACTATCTGGTCTCCAAAATGTAGGTATTGAATGGGCCGGCGGAGAAAAGCTGTGCGATTTGGAATACGCCGATGACGTCTATCTGTTCAAATGTCAAGAGGACGCGCATAGCGCAATTGATAGACTAACAGGTGCAGTAACCACTTTTGGTATGTGCTTTGCACCTTCAAAGTGCAAAGCGATGCTGCAGGACTTGATTTCGTCTACTCCCACTCTGAAACTGAATGGCCAAGATCTAGTTGTGGTGGATTACTTTTCCTACTTAGGTAGTTGTATGACCAATGACGGTAGTGCAGCAAAGGAGGTAACCGCCCGTTTTTCCAAGGATCGAGCTGCGTATTCAGGACTGAAACACCTTTGCCGTAGACGCAACGTTTCGTTGAAGTTGAAGGGTCATGTATATTCTGCTACCGTTCGTTCGGTTCTGCTTTATGGTTGTGAGAACTTGAATTTGCGAGTGGATATCCGTAGACTAGAGGTTTTTGATTATCGATGTTTACGTAGGATGGAGCCAATAGGTTAGCAACCTGGAGGTAAGTCGTCGTATGTTTGGAAGTCTATCAGACATATACCTGCTAGCACATCGAATTCAAATTGGTATACTTCGCTGTCTAGGGCACGTATTGCCTATGCCCAGCCATCGTCTGCCGCACCGCGCTTTATTCGCTGTAGTTAATCCGGGCTGGAGGAAACCACTTGGAGGTCAACAGATGACGTGGAAATAAGACGAAGAAATACACGGAGCCATTAGGTGAAGTGGGGGTGTCGCGCCTTCCAAGTTGGGATCCGGAAGACTCCACAACCGGTTTTTTATTCCACACCGGTGTGTGATGGACAGCAGACGGGATGGAGCCCCATAGTCACGACGATCTGCTGTTCAGTGATGGTAATCGGCAACCTAAGTCCTGGGACTTGGAGTGGCGAATCACATAAGGCTCCGCTAGGTCAGTCGTGGCATTGAACCGGATGATAGCGAAGCTGTCTACCATCGAAGAATATGGCAGCAAACCTACTTCATTGGTGTTCTTGCTGTTATTTCTTATCAGACCAGAATGCTTAAAACGGTATGTATGCAGAGTTCGATTATGCACTCTGTTGACCACAGTGGTTCACCTTCTCCCTCCCTCAAAGTAGGTCCAGTGCCTGTCCTCCTTAAATCTTACCACTAATATTGTATGCATTGCGAGTTTGGCAGCGGTCAGTGCAGTTCGCCTCACTGATTTTCGCTGTACAATGTTGATGGTGATTTCATCTGTCTGCCGTTAGGTTCGATCACAGGGGCAATATATTTGATAGTTTTCATTCTTTTTATTGGTTCATCCTAATTTTGGATAAGATGCACTGAAGGATTTAATGCTGTTAAGAATATTTTAGCTTTTGACATGTTAATCTCCAGTCCCGTAATTTTTCTAGGGCCACTGATGCGATTGATAACTGTGGGTGTTTGAACAGCTCCTGCTTAATTGCTGGACACCCTAGCAGTACCCGTGCATCAAACCCCAGTGCATGTGCATTGCCAGTTTGGTAGCAGTCAGTGAAGTTCGCTTCTCTATTTCGCTGTACGACGATGTGTTTGAACACCGCTGTGTACGCAGCATTTTAGGCAACCGCGGTCGCCCACTGGAGCAAGTGGTTGACCTCCATAGATTACGTTGTTTGGGGCATGTGCTACGCATGTCACCGGATAGGCCCCCACGGCGAGCAATGATTGCCGAGGCAGACAGTGGGTGGAATAAAGCCAAGAGTGGTCAATCTGAGACCTGGCATGAGGGCATGAAAACCCTAACCAGGAATCTGGGTCACATAGACCCCGTTAGATTCCCTGGATGGGGACCTCGGAATGATCGTAACCGATGGTTAGACACACTGAGTGATATAGCTGAGGGTCGTAAACAGTGGTGTTCGTTCGGCTTCTCAGTTTCTCTACACCATTAGTCCACTGAACTTCTCAATTTTCTCTTAGACTCTATTTTCAACCTACCTGTTTTCCTCCTATTGTTCACCCAAATAACAGCAGCCAAAATCGTCGCATCGAATTGCATGCTTAATGGTTGTATAAACTGAAACTGATAACTGTTTGGATGGATTTGAGTGCCTCTTCAAGAGCGAAAATTTTGTCTGCTAATTTCAGGTCCGTTATCTATGGGGCAAAGTATCATAATGATCATTCAGCACAATTCGTATACGGGGAAATCCCGTAGTCAAGGAGAATAGTGTAAAAGGTAGATTAGGGGAACACAAACGTAGAATCCAGCTTATTGATGCTGAGTTTAAACAGTATAAAGTTGTAAATGGGAGGGGGGGGGTAAAGACAGAAAGTGAGTGTTCCACAATGTAGTAGTACGATGAAGAGAGAAGATTGCAGTAGTGATGTACTACTTCTGGTGACCGAAATGTGATAAGGATGGCTAGATGCCTGTGTACGGTATGGGCAAACAAAAATTACAGGAAGAGGCACTGTGATACTTTGCCGCCTGACGCCCTTAAAGGAGTGAATATTCGCGAACAGCAAGCAGATGCTGACCGCACCACGGTTGCATCGACCTAATCTTCACGTTGCATCAAGTCCTCGAATGGTTCTACTTCCATCATCGACCAACAATCGCAGTGTTCATCGACCTGAACTGAGCCTTTAATTCAGTTGACCGTGAATCTCTAATGGGTGCATTGCTTCGCAAAGGAATGCCGCAGAGGTATATAAACCTATTGCGGTCACTGTGCTTGCATACTTTGGGTAGCGTCAGGCTGTATGATTGTGTATTTCATACACGCCTTTATGTCAAACAAACCTCGGTACAATAATCTTTATAAAAAGACAAAAGTTCCATGATTTGAACTTGGGCGTAACAGTACCAGGTTGCCCAGGCCAAAGCAGGTGAATTTTATATCTCTTTGTTTAAAGGGGGATGTGGTCGGTTTCGCTCTTGTGAACTTTTGAAAAGTGATACTTTTGGATATTTGACAAAATTGAGTGTAGTATATTTCATTGATATTCTGTTGCAGCTGCTCAGCTACCGTGCTCATATCTACCAATGGCTACGTGTATTCCGGAACCTTCGATAAAAAATTTGCTGGAATCCGAAACGCTCCGATGGATTTTTGTCGGTGGAAAAGGTGGTGTGGGCAAGACCACATGTAGTTGTTGTATTGCCACTTTGCTAGCTAAACTGCGTGAGCGGGTGCTGATTCTCAGTACCGATCCAGCCCACAACCTGTCTGATGCGTTCGATCAGAAGTTCTCTCGGACACCAACTAAAGTGAAGNGAAGGTGAGCCGGATTTTTCTTTCGTTGCTGGGGTCCAATAATGCTGATTTAGGGGGGCGAGGAGCGTAGACAGCCGAAGGAGGCCGTGGAATGCTGTTGTTTGGTTACGATAAAAGGGATATCCTCACCGGTGTTCCATCATTGCCCTATAAATGGATTCCATTCTATTACAAGCCCGTCGTTTCAAATTATTTCATTGAATTATTACCATTATGTTGTTTGTTGATCATCTCGATCTATATTGGTCAACCTTCAGCAAAATATCGCAGAAATCGTTACTAATGACCTTAAAGTTCGGGAATCCTTGTACTACAGGTTTGGAGAAATTATCGGGTTTAGTGACTGCTTTTTGGTGACTGTTGGAATTCTCTCACAAGTGTGGAAAATTTCACTTGATTTAATTCATGCGGTTTTAAAGCCGCCTGTGAGTTGGTGTTCAGCATGACGTTCACGAACTCCATTCGCGTCCCCGTCCCCGCCCCCCCCCCTGTGATTCCGTTATCGTTCTGTAGGGATTCGATAACTTATATGCGATGGAAATCGATCCGAATCTGAATCTGAACGAATTGGAAGAGGATTTGGTCGGTTCCGAAGAGGCTGCCATCTCCGCGGACATTCGTCGCAGTATCTCTCACCTGATGACTTCATTCCCCGGTGTGGACGAGTACATGTCTTATACGGAAGTGTTTCGACTAGTGCGCAATTTGGATTATTCGGTCGTGATATTTGACACCGCACCCACGGGACATACACTACGCTTGCTGGCATTCCCCAAGGCGATGGAGAAAAGCTTGAGCAAATTTATTGCCATGAAGAATGAGGTACGTTTGTTGACTTAACGGGTCGGTTTGTAGAACGTGACGCAGTTCTGCCATGCCCATTCCGGCTGCACGGCATTCTGTTGTAACAGGAGGTGCCATCAATCATGAAATTTTGCCAATTCAGTTGAAAAATAAACCAAAAGTGATGTTCGTCCAAACAATTACTTAGTTGTTCAAATAATCCCACAGGGCACATTTCAAACAAAACAACAGAGTGGCGAACAAGCTCGTTTTCAGAGATTCGTATTCATGCCAATACATCTCAATATATATCACTACTTGGGAATAAAATTGTAATGGAAAATAAAACAAAATAAAAACAGATTACTGAAACCGATTTCATCGTAAGACCGGAAATCGGGTTCACCACGATCACATGTTCGTTTTTCCACTCATCCGACCATCGAGATTAATCACGATGCGGTTTGTATGGGGGGTGGGCCAGGCAAGCTTTAGCGCTTGCACAAATTGTTTTTAGGCACACAGAGGGGGGTTGTGCAGACAAATGCCCACCGCTTCTGCCGTAGCCAACATCCGACAGCGAACCTGCCTCGATAATCGCCCACGAACTTTGTCCAGGTAAAGCCTCGCACACGTTCACGGTATGATTTGTTTCAGCTAGGTGTGAAACCACTGCACTGGTGAGTGACTTAATCGTTCCGGTGTTCAGCCACGCGGTGTGGTGTTCACTAATCCGTTCGGACAATCGCCTGACCGTGCGGCCTATTACATTGTTCCACAGGAACAAGTAAATGAGTATACACAGAATGAGACCGCAGAGTCTGGAACTTTGTCCTTCAGTCAGTCAGTCAATCATGTTACCACTAGAACGCCTTGAACCTCACAGAACATAGCCTTTAGTTATTCTCAACTATTTTTTTATTACACACTCTTGCGTGTGATGAACAGCAGACGGGGTAACACCCATAGTCACGAGGGCCCGCTGTTCAGTGATGGGAACCGGTAACAAAAGCCCCGGGACTTATAGTGGTGAACCACACAAGGCCCCACTAGGCTATACTTGGTATTGAACCGGACGACAACAAAGCCGTCTACCATCAAAGTTGGATGGCGGTGGTGGGGCTCGAACCTCGGACCATAGGGTCCAGAAGCACGCATGTGACAGCGAATAAACCACCGCGCCACCACTACCGGTTATGTTCTGCAGGTTTTGTCTCAGCCGTTCATCGTTCTAAACGTTTGTTCGCCTATCCCGTGCGCAGAAGGCTGGTCATTTTTGTTCAGGTCTAACTCTTCTTTCCTTCTTCCTTTTTAATGACAATGTTTATCACTACAAAAGTAGGATCAGTTAACTGAATATTATTAACTAAATATTGGATTAAGGCACGGAATCTTGTACACGTCGCACTGTTCAGTTGACACATGCACCACATAAATTTAGTTCTAGAATATGCGTTTTACACCCTCAAAGTGTAAAATGTTGCTACAATGCTGAGGTAACGCGCAGAGGTTTAGGTAATTACGGTAGCTAATTGAAGCAAGTGGTCGACCTCCATAGATTACGCTGGTTGGGACATGTCACGAATGTCACCAGGTAGGTTGCCACAGCAAGCGATGTTCGCTGAGACGGGCAGTAGGTCGAAGAAAACCAAGGGTGGTCAATCTAAGACCTGGCATGAGGGTATGAAAATCCTAACCAAGATGTTCGCTCACATAGGTCCTGTTAGGCTCCTTGGCTGGGGACCTCGGGATGATCGTAACCGAAGGTTAGCGACACTGAGTCACATGCCTGAGTGTCGTAAACAATCGCGTTTGCGCACCTCAATTTCTTTATGAACACAGCCCACTGAAATTCTCCATTTTTCCCTCGACCCTGTTTTCAACTTTCCTGTCTTTCTCCGACCTTTCATCTTAATGGACAGCAGCCAAAAGACAGTAACCAAAACCGGAGTACGAAATTGCATGGTTAACGTTTGTACAAACAAACTAAAAGTGGACTACCGCGATTTCCTTAAACTCTGCGTTTAACCTTAGCATTGCTTGTTTCCCCGCCAGACTCGTTCAGTACGGCATAAACAATGATGTTGGGCACCGGTAGTCTTTCCTTATCCCGATCCCATGACGACCACATCTGTGTCATACAGCAGCACCGGCCCGGACTACCGCAGAATGTACGCGCCCCTCACATACAGGATCAGAGATGTCCTAATCCAGCAAATGCTAATCGAGCCTTCGGTAGCTTTGTTCAGAGTACTGAGTATCCTGATGAGATTCTCTTATTCGTCCAAAAGTACCTTGTTTTGATGGATGGGAAGAACATGGGTGATCGCTCACCGTAACTGTTTCCACTCAACGGGCAACCACAGTTAATAACCAAAGTAATAGCGCTTCACAATGTGTCTTTCTGATTCTCCTCATTTTTGACCTGTGATCGATTATTGCATCGAATAATATGTCAGTCTTCCTTCAATGACAAACTTTCGATTTTTTGAAACCTAAGATCCTTTATGGCACCTAAGCCCACACATAGTCGCTATCTGCATCCCATGTATTGGATTGCACGAGAAAGTCCTCGAAATCTGCCAGACAATATGATTTGAAATGTTGGCGGTGGCGCAGTGGTTCAAGCCCCGCCAGCTCCACTCAACTTTGTGGTAGGCAGATTTACTGTCGTCCCGTTCACCACCGCTATCCTGGCGGGGTCTTATGTGGTTCGCTACTCCAAGTCCGGAGGGGCTTAGGTTGCCGGGTACCATCACTGAACAGCAGGTCTTCGTGACTATCGGGTCCCCCCATCTGCTGTTCATCACACGGTGGTATGTAATAACAAAAAGAACACAATGTAGCGAAAAAGACCTGTTTTCAGTGATTCGTCACCTTCACATCTAGATCGGCTCTGAGGCTGCAGCTCAAAGGCAAAGTTCCTGTTTCTGCGATCTCATTCTGTTTACTCCTTCACTTGTTCCTGTGGAGCAATTTATATCGGTCGCACGAGCAGACGCTTGACTCAGAGAGTTCGTGAGCATTATTCGGCGCGGTTGCACACCGGGGTGACAAAGTCAATTACGCGAGCGCAATCTGTTCACACCTTGTTGAGTCAGGTCATTTAGTTGACTTGACCAGAGCGTTTCGTGAGCAACAATCTAAGCGGATTAAACATTACATCCTGGCCACAGCGGAGGCCGTGGAAATTCGCATTCGCAATCCACTCTCGTGTGCGTAAAAACCATTTGTGAAGACATTGTGTCTGCCATGGCCCTCCGCCCACTCCATTTTCACCCGCCCCTCCCAATCTTCGGTAAATCAGGACTAAGCGCCACACTGGAAACGATAGACATTATCTACATTATGTCAAGTTTATTATTATTGTCATTTTTTGTAAGTAATATCTCCGCCCTTCTGTATTTTAGCCGAATTATGTAAATTGTGATGTATTGGCCAAAGAAGACGAATCACTGAAAACAAGTCTTGTTCGCTACATTGTGTTCTATTCAAAAAAGGGGGGAGTTGGTGGTCTAATGAGACGANTGAGACGATTCAAATATGATTTGACCTGACCGCTCTGGTGGAGTTGACAAAATTTCTTCATTGCGTTCGGAATCGTGAACAAAAATACGTCAAAAGTGTCATGAATTGGTTGTGGTACTAAGGTACTACTAAGAAAAACATGAAAACAAGGATTTCCTCTTCATGCAGTTATCCGGGTGGAAGAAAAATTGGCACAAGAGTCGATATAGAGTATTCTCAATTTTAAGGGGTCATCATCATCGTACAGCGTGATACAGTGAGGCGAACTTCACTGATCGCTGCCAAATTATAGTTTGTGCATGCATTAGAGCTTGATAGACGCTTACTGCCAGGATGTACAGCCAATAAGCAGGAGAACGATTAGGTTTCTCGCCCAAGGCCTTTAGTTCTAACAAGAACCTGACCGCAAGTCAGCGGGTAAAGCGAAGTGGAGATCCTATGTATTTGAATCGATTATTCCTCCACCGTTTTTACCGACTGAGACGCCAAGTCTAATCGAATCCTGAACCTGGAGGACTGAACTTTGTCTGACCTCTACCCTCTGACCTTCCACGTATGATAACATCCCCTGACTATAAAAGCCATCCTGTGTAGCGCGTTAGGTCATAAAGGTGTAAAGGCCATCGTACCACGTCCACGTACAGCCTCTCTGTGGCGGTTTAAGAAGTTCAGTATAATCAGATACTTGAGCCAGAACAAAATCAGCTGTCCCCTTTCCCCCTTCATGCATTTTAATCACTCGTATACCGTTCTCTCTGCAAACCCAATTTACTGCTTGAGGAGAGGTCACTACTTGCGTAATGTGGTCCTACTCGCACTGTATGTGAGTAGCTTTTTTGTTTTCGGTGCACGCGCGCACACAGTGAAGCGGTCTACGGTTTCTCACGACCTCTTGGGGCAGAAGGGGAGTATTAGATTATGTGTTATCGTGAACAGACTGTTGAACCGTGTAATTCGGTTTGCTGTCATGACCTCCAGTGTCTCAAACCATGCGGTTACGGAGTCTTTTGGACCTCAACCAGATGTCTCTTATCTTCCGGGTTGCGGTACAAAAGACTCCTTAACCGCATGGTTGAAGACGCTGAAGGTCATGGCAGCAAACAGACAGCAATCGCGATCATTCTGCCAATTCTTATCGAGTCAGAATGCTTGAAATAGTATGTATGCGCAGCTGTACTGTGCACTCTGTGTTGAGGTTCACTTCTTCCTCCTCCCTCAAAGTAGGTCCAATCCCTGTCCACCTTAAATATTACCACTAACCTTGTATGCATTGCGAGTTTGACAGCGATCAGTGAAGTTCGAATCACTGTGTTACGCTGTACAGTGATAATGATGACCGCATTATTGTCCGTCCGGATTGTTTTATGAGAACTTGGCTCCTCTGTTTTGTTCTGTGCAACCCGATTTCGCGCTCCACCCCACCCCCCTCGGTCCTATGCCTGCCATTCTTCTAATAAACAATTCCTCAGCTTGGCACTGAGATCGTGGATTTGTCACACTAGTCCCCTTAACCAAATTCACCTTTCCGCTTCATCCTTGCGGTCGTTCAGTTCCGCCGATTTTTTTTCGTGTGCGTGCATAAACCATCGCCAATTTTCAATGAAATATGTCCGTCTGTTTTTCTTCATTCTCCTTGCGTCATTCGTGCTACTTTTTCCGTCCAGACTTGACTAGCACTGTGGCTTTGTCCATTTTGCAACCCGCCGACCAACAAACAGCCTACCTATTACAATCACGTTGACTTCGAAGTATTGACCGGAAATTCTCCGCCGGTTTGACTGACCAACAAACTAACACTATGTACAAGCTTTCAAATACCCACGCGTATGTTCGCGAGAGCTTGCTCGTGTGTGTGTATGTGTGCTATATATATTTCCTTAAAATCTATCTGCAACAGTTTGAAATCAATCCAATATGGATAGTTCGGAATCGCGATGACGGTGGCTGGATCAAGATTACATAGATTGTCACAATTGAGGCAGAACCTAAGGGATGCTTATTTTGCCAATTCGACCACATCGACACATCTGCCACTTCGGGCCTGTGAACCGATTTGTTTGCGAAGGCATATAAACAAACTTTAAGGTGTTTAGGTCGGTCAACTCATTATTACAGGTTTTGCCGTTAATATTGCTTTAAATTGGTGCGATTTTTGATGTTCATGAACTGTCTAACATTTGAATTTCCAGTGAAACTGGCGTAACTTCCAATGAGTTCACTAATCACGTTCTACTGATAATCCCCGAGCGCAGATGGTTAAGCTGTCACATATCATCTACCGCTTACTATTTAAGGTAAGCTTATTTTTCCGGAGAATAAACAAAGGTATTTTTGTGTTGGTTACCGAGCCATAGCATGGAGGGCTTGGAGATGATATGGCCTGACTGTTTTGCGTCCTAGGAATATCACGCGGTTGACTGCTCAATCAGTGAGCTCTGTAGACAAGAATGAACGAACCCAATCGTAATTAACTTTGTTTAGTCGTTAGAGGGAGGCAAAGAAAATGAACCTCTATGGCCAACATGCAGAATAATGCTCAATATAACTGTACATGCATACCGTTTCAAGCATTCTCGTAAGAAATGACAACAAGAACGCCACTACTGTCGACTCGCTGCCATATCCTTCATTTTCTGCAACCGGCCATTTGCAGAGAGAGTCTTTCGGACCCCAACCTAGAAGGCGCGAGACACCTACTCTACCTAATGGCTCTGTACATTTCTTCATGTCTCATTTCCACGTCATCTGTTGACCTCCACGTGGTTTCCTCCAGCCCGGAGCGGCTACAGCGAATAAAGCGCGGTGCGGCAGACGATGGCTGGGCATAAGCAATATGTGCCACAGCCAGCGAAGCCTACTAGTCTGAATTCTGTGTGCTAGCAGATTTATCCCCGATAAACTCCCAAATATACGACGGCTTACCTCCAGATTACTGACCCGTCCGCTCCATCCCATACGGGCGAAACTGTGAACACCTATAATCGAAAACTTCTATTCAATGAATGTCTTCTACTCCAATTGCTATGCTCAGCTGTGATTGTAGATATAAACCGTTGAATAAGGGAAGGGGATCAGCCTGAACCTTCAATGACTGAGTGATCGAAATTGTATTAGGACCGAGGTTCCTTCTAATTTTACCGCTTATTCGGCAGTTTTTTTCACAGTGAACGCCACAGTAGACAAAATTTCAGCAGTGACATCTGAAAGCGGAGCAACAATTTTTCTCGAACACCTAGGTCAAACCCGGATACCTAACATAATGCACATAGCTTCAATGTTATTGATTCCGTCATACCGTCACAGTCACTAATCGCTTGTTAGAAGATCAATGAAATAGCCGTGGCGGTCAGCTTTTACCCGAATCACTTGTTACACAACAGTTTTAAATAGGTAAGAAGATAACTTCCTTCTATCACGGTGGATACAAATCCAACTTCCGGTGGTTTTTGGTTAAACTTGACCAGACTTCAGTCGTTCTTTGTTTGCGTTTCCAACGGGAAGCAAAACGTTCGTCTGCTCTTAGCTCAGTCTGCTTGTTAACGTGACCACTCGTTTGTCGCGTCTTTCGAACTGCCCTGTTTGAATTTACCGGAACACTCGTTGACCTTGGAATATTCCGATACATTTTGATCTTTCTCGTCTACAACGATATGACTAAGGTTTGTGCGTTGAGACTAAAGAACTGTGGATTTTGGCTAAAGCTTGATGGGAAAAGGTTTAGTTTAGTTAACGAACAAATGGGCTTTTGTTTGTGGAGAAATCAAATCATTTAGAAGTGTGACGGTTTGTGGGATTGCCAGTGGACCGTGATTGGTGGATTCACTTGAATTCGCAACGGAGTAGCTTGAATTTGAAAATGTTCAGACCGAAAGAACCCGTCATCGAAGTACTCGCTAGCAAGAAGCGATCTTATTAGAAGATATTCGTTAAAATTTTGTCGGGTGATGACCAAATTGCCTTCGACTAAACCAAACGGTCGTTGTTGAGGTTCCTACAGATTATGTGAATCTTACGGGCCTAACCTTTGGTCGGTTGCATAGACTAATGCACAGTCATCTTCTGGAATTCGATTGACTTCGCTTGTGGTTTGAGCGACTGTTAGATGCCTTCGTTCATCCCGGTTTATCACAGACCCCATCTGTTCCCCTTGTTCTCATAGATATGGACCCGGTCCGATAGTAAATCGTTTGTCTGGTGTGAGTATCTCTGAAATCGCACACCTTCATGTCAGGTGAACTCATTTTTCTCCATAAGTGACTTGGACAGGCAAACAGCGTTGATTCGTATGTTGTTTGCACGAAGGTATAAATATATGTATGCTGTCAGGCGCAAAGGTTTTTTTTCTATATATACGATTCGATATTTAAACAACATTTTGCATGTTACTAATCGTTCTTTATTTGTCACCCGCTTACTTCCCCTCCGATATGTCCATTTTCAGGTTGCACCACTGCTCAAAAGTCTGATGGGCTTTTTCGGGATGAACAATATGCAAATGGGCGACTTGACCAATGCGCTGGAAACTCGATTGCCCATTGTGAAAGAGATCACACGTCAGTTCAAGGATCCAACCCAGACCACTTTTGTGTGTGTGTGCATTCCGGAATTTCTCAGTATGTACGAGACGGAACGACTGGTTCAGGTAAGAGTGACAGTTCGATACTAATACTGTTGTCCTAGTAGAACTTGTCATACCCAATCCTCTTCAATTGAATATTTTGATATACCTGACCGTCGCATTTGTGGCGAAATAGCATGGAAAAGTCCATCCACATCCAGCTCACTTGCACCTTCTCAGTTAACCACGCGGTTTCTTCCAACCTGGAGCCGCAACTGCGAATAAGGCGCGGTGCGGCAGACGATGGTTGGACATACGCAATACGTGTCCTAACCTAATCTGAATTCGATGGGACACCGAATTCTCCATCAAATAATTACCAAATACGCGACGCCTCACCTCAGATTTGTTTACAAGCTCGCTTCATCCAACCCGCGCCAAACTACGTAAACATATGCAGTCGAATACTTCAGGAAAACGAATATATTCTAAGCACAAATTTAGGGTCTCGCAACCATAGAGCAGAACTGGCTACACACTGGTGCAGTATACACGACCTTTCAGTTTCAACCAAACATTGCGTCTGAACCAAAGATGTTTCAATCCTGCGTAAGCTGCTCGAGCCTTGGAAATGCGGGCGGTTACTTCATTGACTATGCTGCCGTCATTTGAAACGCAGCTACCTAAGTAGGTGAAACATTCCACTACAGCTAATTCTTGATTATCAAGCATCAGAGCTGGGGTAGATGACACCCAGTCTTGTAGCATCACTTTGCACTTTGAGGGTGCAAAACGCATGCCGAAAGGAGATACAGAACTTGGTAGTCTGTCAAGAGCGCATTGCGCGTCCTCCATAGATTCGAACAGGCATACGATGTAATCAGCGTACTCTAAATAGCACAGCTTTTCTCCAGCTGCCCATTCAATACCTACGTTTTGGAGACCAGTAAGTGCGTTCTTCAGTACTTCGTCTACGACGAAATTAAACAGGAATGGCGAAATAGGGCACCCTTGACGGACACCGCTCCTGGTTTCGAACGATTTACTTACCCCACCTTAGACCCTTACGCTACCAGAAGTATGCAAATACAACGTCCGCAATAGGTTACATACTTCAGCGGCATTCCTTTGCGGAGCAGCGACCCCAGAAGAGCTTCACAGTCAACTGAATCGAAGGCTCTTTTTAGGTCAAGGAACGCTGCGACTGTTGACCGACGATATGTGTGACGCAGTTCGAGGACTTGACACAGAGTGAAGATTTGGTCGATGCACCCGCAACCTGGTCGGAATCCGGCATTTTGTTCGCGGATATTCCTCTCCCTTAAGGGTGTCAGGCGGCGAAGTATCACAGAAGTCAACACTTTTGTGATTATCGGAACTAAACTAATTCCACGGTGGTTAGCGCAGTCGTTGCGTGATCCCTTCTTGAAGATCGGGACGATCAACGATTCACTCCAGGACAAAGGGATACGCCCCTCCATCCAAATGCTGCTAAGTAAGCTAGTAATTGAGTCGACAAGAGAATCTCCGCCCACCTTGAAAAGAATAGGGAGAAGCCCATAAGGTCCCGCAGCCTTTCCTTTCTTTAATGATTGAATGCAGCTTCATACTTCCGATTCTGATGGGGGGGCTCGCATGTTACCACCCATGGAGTTTCCGCCGCAATTGCTGGAATGACCACATTAACACCAGGTCAATGGAACTGTTCACTAAAATACTCTGCCCAACGATCAAGTAGTTGTTCTTTATTGTGAATGTTTTGTCCACTTTTATCGCAAATGATCTCACTGACCGGTATGCGACGACCTCCGTTGATGCGTATCAGGTGAAATACTCTTTGACTATTACCTGATGCAGAAGCCACCTCCATTTCATTAGCTATTTCGGCCCACCAATTTTCACGATCTTTCTTAAGGCTATTTCTGAGTTGACGTT